CATAATAAGTAGATGTTGAGTAAAATAAATGAGTGAGTTCACGTAAGATGATCATAATCTTTTTAGATAAAATAATGCAAAATGTTTGGAGAAATTGAATTATTTAGATGGCAAAGTGTATAGAAAAGTGTAATATGTTCAACACAAAGTGTATAGAAAAATGTAATATGTTCAACAAGAAAGGAATAAAAGTTCTGAAAGGACAGTATAAAACATATTTGGGTTTTCCCCTTGAGACTGTGAACCCCATGAAGGGTGATGTGGAATCTGTTACTCACCTCTATCTAAAACTTGCATCAGACTTGTCATGTAGGAAATATTGAGTAAATACTTTTGAATTGGTGGAGAAAAATTAGCCTTAAGTCTGAGTCTACACCTAAACCTCTATGAACTCAGGAACAGGGGTGAAGACATAACCAGAGGTGATAAAAACAGACAAGAGAGAGCTTGATGTGTCTATGAGAGGACATGATAGCTGCCTGTGGATATTGAAAAAACTTCTCAGCGGCATAGGGTAAAGACTTCATCCATGATGCTCAAGTGGGAGAACTGGCACCAAGGGTGAGGTGGGTTTGGGATTCACTTTGGAAAAAGCTATTCAACCACAGAATGAACTGTAAACTCTCCCACACTAAGTTTGGTAGAAAATACTTGAGCTGTGTCAGGTTCAAAAGGTTTATAAGGTAGAAAACATGTGGTTCAATCTTAACTGAAGCAGACCCCTAAAAGGAACAATAATTCAATGTTTGAAGCAATCTAGAAATCTTAAAAATTTTGGCACAACTTAATAGGAAACGTTTGGACCCAAACTATGAAAAATAAAACCCCTATAGAAAACACGTTAATAAAAAACACTCTTTATTTTGTGTATTCCAGTGGGTGGTTTCTTGCAAAACTTTTAAGAGTTTAGGACCAGGTTAGAAAAGCATGAGTAGGCAGTTTTGGAATGTTTACAGTCTCTATGTGAGGTTCCTGAGCATGGGAAGGAGAAGGAGAAGCTTCTAAGACTAGTGGTTCTCACAGTATGCCCTCCAGAGGACCAGCACTATCAACATTACATGATAATTTGTTAGAAATTAAAAATTTTGAGCTCCTCCCAGACCTACTGAATCAGAAACTCAGGAGTAGGGCTCAGAAATCTGTGTTTTAGCAAGACGTCTAGGTGATTCCAACACAAGTAAAAGTTTGAGAACAACCGAATTAGACCACTTTTAGGGACCCTTCTAACTCTTACGATCTTATTTCATTAATACATATTCCACATGACCATACACTCCTCAAAGGTAGAAATCACACCTTGTATTTCTCATGGTTTCTTACACAGACTCACAGTTCTGCCATCTGTCAGATTCGTAAGAAGAAACCATTAGTAAAATTTCGGAAGTTGGACCACCTCAAAAGACTTAAAGTTCCATCTTCAAATTACAGATTGACATCCCTTTTATTTCCTGCCCTTCCTAAGCCTTCCTTGAAGTTCAGTGTTCAAATAAGGGCTGGGCACTGTGGCACGTGCAGATACTCAGGAGGCTGAGGTGGGAAGATTACTTGAACCCAAGAATTGAAGACCAGCCTGGATGACCTAGTAAGACCTCATCTCAAATTTTAAAAAAATTACAATTTAAAATAAAAGAAACTGATAGGATCTTATTCAGTTTTCCAGAAAAAGATCCTGTAAAGTTGGTAGAGGAGCAATTTTTGGATATTCAGACTCAAGTGAAGAGTCAGTATTCTTATTACTTTGGGATTGGATTTATGTATGATGAAATTGGTTTTTTTTTTTGGATTCTTACATACTTCCTGCAAGAAACACCCATTATGAAACTTTAAGTTAGTGTTTGATTGTTCTATGCCTAAATGGCAAATGCTAATAACAGTCAAACTGAAAGATGTTGCAAAGAGTCAGAAAGCCTGTGAAGGTAGTTGAAAGCTTTCTTTTACAGATATGCCAACTAAGGCCCAGAGAAAGGAAGTGCTTTGCCCAGGGTTACAAAGCTCTTTATTAATGGTACATCCGGGATTAGACCCCAGATTTTCTGACTTCTGGATCAAAACATTTACCATGACATTAGAAATTCCCAAAGCAGGATGACTGAGGTATATCTCTATTTTAAAATCCTATGTAAAAGTAAATGTCATGATGTTTTTTAGAGTTTAGAAACACTGGTGTATGCAAATTGCATGCCTCTATTCAGAAGATATGGCATGTCTGGATTAATCTTCTCTATTGTTACTTTAAGTAGAAATGACTAGTCATGTATTTCACTAACTGAAACACATTGAATAGAAAATAAAATCACTGCCCTAGAGCCCTGTCTGACACTAATGTATGCATGTTTATCTTTGCCTTCATATTCCACTAGACAGTTGTGTCTGTGAGGAAGCTTTTAAAAGTGTTTTCAATGGAGAAAGCTGTGCTTGTAGCTCTTGCTAGATTTGACTGGTGGCTGTTGAGTCATAGATGGGATTGAAAGAGCCCATGGTGATAGTTCATAAAGTGAATTCTAGAGCTGCTGGTTTGCCCAATGCCTCTGGGCACCAAGTAGGCACTCAAGAAATTAAAATGACCTCCTGACTTTGAAGCTCCCACTTCAGGTATTATATTTATTTGAATTCATTTACTGAACAAATTTATATTGGAGAGGCCATAAAGCCTAATAACTAAGAACACAAGTGTTAGAGTCAGATTGAGTTCGAAGGCCAGCTCTACCCTTTCCCTTGCTTTTAGGCTTTAGACAAGTTACTTACTCTCTCTGAGTCTTACTTTCCTAACCTATAAAAAGGGGTTCATCAGTTAGGATTCAATCAGAGAAGCAGAACTAGGAGATTTGGCCTTATGCAATTATGGGTGCTTGTTAAACACTGTCTGCAAAGCTCCTGTCTTTGTGACTGATGCTAGTTCCTGAAGCGTTCAGGGCAGGCAGTTGGGAAGCAAAAGTGGATATAAGGTGGAGAAGAGGAAGGGCAAGTTGGGATGCATGGGCGTGAGTGAGAGCCTTCAAGGACCAATCGGAACCTGTGTCAATTCTCATTGCTTCCAACTTCCATGAAGTGGGTGTCCTGCAAGAGAAGCTGACATTCTTCATCAAAGAGCTAAACACACACCTGGCTGAGGAAATAGAGAAACTAAAGTTGTATCCAGGGGAAGGTGGAGCAGCTGTGGGCTTGACTGTTACCCCAGGTCAACGAGGTTAGCCAGCAGATCAGCAAGAACTGCCTAAGCACAAAAACAAAATGGCCCCACTTCACTTTTGTGTTCCAAATCTGGCGTGAAAGTCAACCCAACCCAGAAACACCATGAAGGGGATTCTGGGAAATGTAGTTCAGTCTAGCAAGGTGGACAGGTCGCACAGATACCACATAGGGTGAACCAGCCCACTCTGTAGACTTACTATGAGTGTGAAGCCTGAGAAAATACATAGTGATTATGATGATAATGTCACGTGGTTTCCACTGTGAACAATAGTCTATTTCAGATATGGTAGAGGCCAGAAACATGTCTTGAGCCCCTGTTCTCAAGTTCTTTACATTCTAACATAAGAAAGAACACGTGAAGATGAGACATTATAATTTTAACAATTCCCCATAATTACAATGTTGCAAGAATTGGTCTGTTTTGAATGGACCAGTTTGGGGGGCTTACCCTTTAATACATTCAAATTATTTCTTATTTTAATCATTTTTAATGAATATCTTTCACACATGCATTTTACATTTTGTGACATCTTACATAGTATGAAGGAAGCCATTTAAGCTTTCCTGTATGACTCAGTCATCACTGGGAGTGTCAGTTAATTGCATTGTTCTATAATGGGACCAGTTGTATTTGAAGCAATTTGGGCTGACGCTAAATGATTCTATTGATTGACATTGTTCTCTCTTGTTCTCTGCTGGCATTTGCTGTGATTTTTAATCTTCATGCCTATGGTGATATCTCTCCCTTCTTCTAATCTGCTGCTTCCAATCTGCTATCAACGGAGAAACCAGATAACAAAGCTTGTAAAAACTGTGCACAACATGCAATAACATAAGCCTGATGAGAACTTGAGCAAAACCCATTTTACTGCATTTTTTCCCTTTCTCAGAGCAATGCAATTTCAAAGCCCCCATAAGTAGTGTTTCTTTCATTTTGTAGATTACTAGTAAAGAAGGACAGTATACTTTTATACAAAACGGAGGCACTTCCAGCAACTGAGGCCAAGTGGTGCCTTGGCTCTCTATGTGAACAAAGGTTTCCTGATACTCAGTCAAGAAGGCCAGTGGGAAGATGGAGTTATCATACAGCACAAGGCAATCTAGATGTGTGGGCTCAAAAGGACCTTCCTGTGGCAATTGGGACCACTGTCACACTGGATATGGCAGTTTAGTTTCAGCAAGATGTCACTAGCCAATGAAGTTTATGTTAGTAATTGTAGTTTTTAAATTTTATATTCTTTGCTATTTGATTTCTAAATTTTATAGTTTAAAAATACCTATAACATGGGATGTTTATACATAGGTTCTTATGGTGTGTATAATTGCAGTAAGCGTGCTTGTGCATGGGGAAGCATTTTCTTTTGACGAGTAAGAATAACTTTCGAGTAAGCTTCAGCCCTATCTGTCAAATTATGCTCATTTCAGTTTTCTGCCCACGTTAAGGAGAAATCTTTCAATTCTGCCTGTCTGGGGGCTTCTATTTCCTTCAGCCTTTGCATTGGCAGTGTTCAGTTTTGCTTTGTGATGCAATGTAGCATAATAGCCAAGAAATGGACTCTGGGGTCAGGCAATGTGGGTTTGAATCTCACTTCTAACAAATCACTGGTTACGTGGCCTTGAGCAAGTTCAACTCTCTGTGTCTCAGTTTCCTCCTCCATTCAGCAGAGATAACACATTATATACCTGCTAGGGTCCTTGTGAGGATTAGATGATGCAGTTCGTACAAAGTGTTAAGAACAGTGCCTGGCAAAAAAATGAGTGCTTCTTAAATGTTGGCTATTGATATTCTGGCTTTTCTGTCATTCCAGAGTCTCCAAGCATAAAATGATGCTGAAAAGAAATGAAATGAAAGGAAGACGAGCCAAACCATGAAAGTTAATACTGGCATTATGAAAAGTATTGCTATGAATCCAATTTATTTAATTATAAGTGTTTTTAATTAATTTCAAAAGAAGATGGCCATCCCCATCAGTGTTTGGCAGAATGCCTACGTTTGAGGATGAAGAAAATATTGTGTGTGTGCACATGCGCATGTAATGCTTTCACGATGAAAAACGACTTCAATCATCAATTCGAAATCCTGTTCAAAGTGAAATCACATTTGCATGACAAACAACACAGCATCTACCAATTAGAATCATGTTTACTTGGCAGAAAGAACATTCGTGAAACCAACACCAGTGTCACAGCCACAGAGGAGAATTGCATTTTATTCGTCTTTTTCGTTCTAGCATAAAACATAAAAGGTACTCAACTGGTGTCTAAAGAATGAACGAATGTATCATTTAATAAATGACGAACACACAGAGGAAAGAACACGTAGGAGCTGTCTGCAGAAGGTGAGAACAAGTGTCAAAAAGGAATAAACAAAATAACAAAAAGAGTAGATTAGTGGAAATCCATATTATTCTCAAGCTGCAAATTGATCCAACGATGTAGGTCTCACCTCAGTTGGTCCTCAGTGGTAACTGCAAGATTTGGGGTGGTAAGAATGGTGGTGCAAATGCGTGTAAATAAAGTGTGTGTGTATTTGAATGTGTGCACTTTTTAATTAATTTAATGTGGCTCACCCAACCTCTTCGGAGTCCAAAATCACAAAAGAGAAGTTAATGGCCCTTCATTATCAGTCATATGAGACAGAATACGCAATAGCTTTCTTGAAACTCAGTGCACTCTTTCCCTAACTAGCACTATTATCCTGTCCCTTAATCTATAACTATGAAGGGGGAGAAAGTAGGTTCTGATTTTCGTCTTCTGTTTGGCTGCTCACTTCTTATTCTTACTGGAATCAGAACGTAAAAGAAGAAGATCCTAGGAACCTTAACCCTGAGGGTCTTCATAAGATGGCTTAATTTATTATCCTCCTGTTCCCCTTATGCAGAATGTCAGGTTTGCTAACCAGAAACTGCTGCAAATTTTTTGCAAGAACCGCTATTACCTGGTCCTGCAAGTCCTACAAGAGAGTCCTCTTGGGGACTCTCACCCCCTCTTCTCAACCTTCTCAACCTGGTTTCTGCGCCGTGTAAACCACAGAAAATCTCAGGCACAAGACAAAGGGGATTCCCAATGGGTATGAGCTCTGTACATTTCTTAACTTCAAGTTCTTTCACTTATGCTTCACCAGCCTCTTTAGATATTTGCTTGGAATTACAAGTATTAATGTCAGTTCTTGCTGTAGTTGTTGTTTATGTGCCCACAGTGGTGCTGATTGCAGGCTGACTCTGACCTCTGTTCTTCAGATCTATCTGAGCTATTGTTCAACCTCAGCAGGAGGCAACCCCAGGGGCCTGGCTGTGAGCCTCCAACTGATGCTGTTGTGGGCAATTTCATGGCATTAATAATATTGAGTGAGAAGACCTGGGATTGAATCTCAGCTCCAGCTCTCTCCAGCTTCATGACCATGGGCATGTTACTTCACTTCTCTGAGCCTAACATCCTTATTGCAAGGAGAAGAACTAGTCTCTCCCTCCCAGGGTTATTAGGAAAAATCAAAAGAGATAACTCATATGACTGGAATATGGAAAACCTGCTCTGGAGCAGATGCTTAAATAATTATTATTCCTGCTTTACCCCTGTTGCAATGCTTGTTATATTTTCTTCACACTATAGATCTTAGAGAAAAAAATGTTAAACCCATTGGGATAAAGAGATGAGGCTCTTCAAACCAGAGGTTTCAGCTGACCCAGACTTCAGCTTATGCGGTATGCCTGCAACCATCCTAGGTTCTCTGCATGCCACGGCATACCTGGTGGGAAGCTTTGGGATGGCAAGTGTGAATCTTGACCCTTGTGAAGGTGTGGCCTCTGAGGCAGAGCTGTTTGTATTTGATCATTGAGTCACAGCAGCGTGACAGTGGCAACTCACATAATGGTCTCTGCAGTGTTCTCACCATGGCGTCCCTGGAAAGTGAGGTGACAGTTTTAGGGCTTTGTCCAACCCCAGATACGTAGTTAGCTCCCCATAAATATTAACTGTCATTGGCTTTGTAATTACTCTAATTTGAACCAAATTGGGCCTAGAATAACCACAAATTTGTTTTTCTCTCCAATCACTTTATTCAAAATGCTCCACCCTGTTTCTCCTTTCTCTCCCTTGTGAATATCTCTGTCAGACCCCTCAGTCTTCTCATCATTTTCTGATATTAAAGAATACAGTAGGAGCTTCGATCTCATTTTAATTTGTTCCCAACTTCTCCACCGACCTTGGCTGGAAGCCTCAGAACGGGACCTTTGAGTAGATGTCTCTTTCCATTCCTTCTTGCTTTCACCTCTGGTATGTTGGGATTTGCATATGGGGTTGGAGGAAGGGCAAGCACCGTTTTTTTGTGGGCACTTCTGGTGGTTTGCAGGTTTCCTACGTTAGGGAAGAAAGAGTACAGAGGTTTCTCACTCCGTCTATGCACAGGTGACCCTTGTCCCTTCCACTTGCAGTTATTGGTCAAAACTGGCCACTGGCCCTTTCCAACTGGCCACGGAGCTAAGAAGTGTGTTGTGCTGGTTGCCCAGGGAGGAGTGGAGAGCTGGGACCACTGGGGAACACTACAAATCTCCATCACAGGCCATTTGTGTGGTAAGCTCGTTTTAGGAAAGAATGTTGAATGTCTACGGGAGCAGATGGTGAGGAGAGGGAGTAATGGAGCTGAAAGACCAGTGACTTTGCTATTAGATGATCCTGCTTAAAAACACAACCGCATAAGTTGGAACCTTTGCACTGTTGGTGGAAACGCAGAACGGCCCAGCTGCTGCGGAAAACAATATGGAGGTTTCTCAGAAAATTAAAAATAGAATTACCATGTAATCCAGCAATCCTGCTTCTGACTTTCCTGCCCCATGTAATGTAGTTTCATTTCCTTACATACAAAGGAAATCTAATCGACATCTCGAAGAAATAACTGCACTCCCACAAACAAACTTACAAACTTAAACAAACAAACAAAACCCCCCAAAACCCATGTTCTTTGCAGCATTATTGCCAATAACCAAGGTATGGAAATAACCAAGTGTCTCCCATAGATGAATAGATAAGAAAATGTGACATATACATATTATGGAACAGTACTCAGCCTTAAGCAAAAATATCTTGTCACTTACAGCAACATGGATGAGCCATACAGACATCATGTTAAGTGAAAAAAGCCAGTCACAGAAGGACAAATACCACATGAGATTCCACTTATACGAGGTATCTATAATAGACTCAGAACAGAGAATACAATAGTTGTTGCCAGGGACTGCTGGGAGGGAGAAATTGTAATTTGCTGTTCAATGGGTATAAAGTTTTAGTTATGCTAGATGAGTAAGTTATAGAGATCAGCTGTATAATATAGTGTCTACATTACACTGTACTATAGTGCACTATAGTAAACAATACAGTGTCATGAAATTCAAAATTTGTTAAGAGGGAAGATGTCATGTTCAGTGTGTTTCTTACCACAAACAAACAACCCCCCTGCCACCAAAACTCAAAGAGACACAAGGATACTTTGAAAGGTGTTGGATATATCTATTACCTTAATTGTGGTGATGGTACCACAGGTGTTTGCATATATCCAAATTCCAAATTGTACACATTAAATATGTGCACGGATCTTTGTATGCCAATGATAGTTCAATCAAGGTGTGAAAAAGTCTGTGTTGGCCAGGCACAGTGGCTCATACCTGTAATCCCAGCACTTTGGGAGGCCAAGACAGGCGGATCACTTGAGGTCAGGAGTTTCAGACCAGCCTGGCCCACATGGTGAAACCCCATGTATACAGAAAATACAAAATTAGCCCAGTGTAGTAGTGCATGCCTATAGTCCCAGTGAGGCAGGAGAAACGCTTGAAATTGGGAGTCAAGGTTGCAGTGAGCTGAGATCGTGCCACTGCACTCCAGCCTGGGCAACAGGAGCCAAACTCCATCTAAAAAAATAAAAGGCCCAGCACGGTAGCTTACACTTGTAATCCCAGCACTTTGGGAGGCCAAGGCAGGCAGATCACGAGGTCAGGAGTTCAATACCAGCCTGACCAACATGATGAAACCCTGTCTTTGCTAAAAATACAAAAATTAGCCAGGCATGGTGGTGGATGCCTGTAACCCCAGCTACTCAGGAGGCTGAGGCAGGAGAATCACTTGAACCTGGGAGGCAGAGGTTGCAGTGAGGCGAGATTGCCCACTGCACTCCAGCCTGGGTGACAGAGCGAGACTCCGTCTGAAAAAAGAAAAAAATTCTGTGTAGCACATAAGCTGGGTGATATTTGACCATTTAGTTACCTCTCTAAGCCTCAGTTTTCCTATCTGTAAGATAGGGAGATCTTTGCAAAGAGATTTTGTGAAACTAATTCACAAGCACAAAGCACAGAATGTCTTTTCATTGTATATTAGGGTAAGGGGTTTGCATATAATCCTGCAAGCTAGTAGACAGTGGACTTCTGTACCCTCTCCCCATACTTTTTTCTTTGACCACCAGTTTTCCCATCTCCTCTACCCTCATGGGAGAAAGACTTGCTGATTTTATTTTCTCAGAGTTTGGAACCCAACTGGACTTTTGCTTTAGTTTTCAAACATGTATCCTCTTTCACCTTTCTCAGTTTAATAGCCACACAGAAGCCATAGTAATCCTCTTAAAAGATATATCAGATTTTCTCTTTCTGTCTCTTGCTTGATACCCTCCAATGGTTTCCTCATGCTCTTAGAATAAACTCCGAAGTTCTCACCATATTCATAATGACCTTGTCAGCTCCATGTTGGTCTGTCTTTAGTGTCTCTCTCACCTCACTCACAGAACCCTCCTTCTCACCCTCCATGCTCCAGCCCCACTGACTATTCTGAGAATGTGCTAACATCTTCCTTGCACATGATGCTTCTATTCGAGTGTGCTTCTCCTGATTTCTTCCACAACTGGCACCTTCTTATTCGTCAGATCTAGCTCAGATGTCTCTTATGAAGGACCTTCATGACTCACCCAAGTCATTCCAGCACCCATGTCATTTACTTACCGGTGTAGTACCGTGTTAATGTCTTTTAAATCATCTCCCACATTTTAATATTTTTCATTCACTTACTTGATTGTAGTCTATTTCTCCCATAATAACGTAAGCTCCGTGATAGCAGCAACTGTGTCTGTTACATCCCCAATGATTAGAACAATACCTAATATGTATTAGATGATTAGTCAGTAATAACTAGATTGATAAATAAATAAATAAGTTTAGGCCAGAGTTACTACCAGCCAGAATCACTATGAGTGCATGGCTCGGTATGCATGAGCTGACCCTTCCAGGGTGCATGTGGCAAGCAGACAAGGCAGGGAGGGCTAACCAGATCTCTCTTTCTTATCTACTTCCTCTACACCTACAAT